TGAATCCTCCACTGATCTGCAGTGGTTAATGCCTGTTGTCAACAGCCCTGGCCGGCTGTCCCCCTCCCTTTGAATCCTCCACTGAACATACAATAACATCCAATCAGAATTATAAATTTATTTCAGATTGGTGTATATATATATACATATGTACGCTTAATTAAGAATTGTTTAATCTATAACACCACTATCTCAATACTTGACCGCTTTGATCTCTGTCGGATTTCACTTTGTATATTACAGCATAAACTATTAGATAATACGCCTATAATCCATCTACATCACTATTGTATTGTTTATATTGTACAGTATACAACTTGCAACAGCCAATCTTGTGCATTCTGTAAAGCTGATGAAGGCCAGAAAATTTCCTTCGAAAATAAATACAGTGTTCAACAGTATACATGCCTTGTCATAATTTTTTGTTTCAACGACTTTCAAATTTGAAATATTTAATCAAAGTGGGTTGCATCATTTTCATTTGTTTTATACATTGGGTGAACCCTGTTTTTCCATCCAAAATGATTTTAAAATTTCCTTTTTTTTTCAGGTGGAAAGGAAGAATATTGTGGCGGTATGGCTTTGGGTCAGAGCTTAAAGTTGGACCATCCATACTCCTCAGCAACATACACAAACTTTGTCTCTGGGTTCCAAGGTGTCCTCGACTACATCTTTTATGAGCCTCAGTATTTTAATATTGAGCAAGAGGTGCCGTTGCCATCACATTTGGATGTTGTCCAGTTCACAGCTTTACCAAGTCAAGTCTTTCCATCAGATCATCTGGCTTTAGTTTGTGACTTGAAGTGGAATGTTGGATAATTAAAAAAAAACAAGAATATTGATATATAGATTACCGTATAACAAATTACAAAAAAATGTAATATTTATTTTTCTTTTTACATTTTTTATTTTGGTATATACACCTTGCACAATCCACAACGGAAAGCAGAGATACATCAGAGACCAGCAGAGGGTAATTGGTTTAACAAGTCCTCTGCCAGGGACATGAGTTCGTGTCCAACATGGTTTACTCAGGGCACCAGTACCAGGGATCCTGTCCAAACAAACCATTATTGCATGTAAACTTGCTGGCAGTGGTCACCAGAACACAAACTCTCACCACAGAGGTTCCACAAAGAACCTGAAGTAATGATCTAAAGATAAACACTATGTTTTGTGTTTCATTAGAGTCGATAGGAATGATTTTCGTTATGGTGGCGCCCTTTTACACAGTCAACGTGTTAAGCCACAGTTGGGCAAAGTGTGGCCTGTGTATCTTTGGCTTTAAAACCCCTTGTTTTTACAGCCCCCTTTTTTTTTTTTGGGTCCGACTGCCCGATGAGCTTTGGCCGATGGGGAGGCTTGACCAAACCAATGGGGGCTTAAGCCCCCTGCCCCCACTGGTGCCGCCACTGCCCACATGATGCAAGACGGTTGGTAACTATGCTGATGGTATGAGTACCAAGCCAATGTATGTGGCATGGCTACCAGGCTGCTCCATGTAGCATGAGTATGAGACTGCTCCATGTGGCATGAGCATTAAGCGTGTCCATGTGGCACTAGCAGTATCAACATTTCAAAACCAAATGAACAATAATGATTATGTTAGCCACAAAACTACAATTTGTTTTAAAACTTTAATTAATAGAGGAATAGTAAATTTATTTGGTTTATTATGGAATGTATGTCTTAACCAATTTTATGTAGGCGTTCTAGAAACGCAGCTTTTTATGATTAATATCAAGAAATAGTATATTGCATATTGAAGAATGAAATACAATAAACTATAATAATCATTGGATTTTTTTGTCAGAGGGATGGATTAAATTCATATTAAAATGGTGAAGCGTTTGTCATTAATCTGTCATTACTTGTCACGTTCCAGATTGTATAATGGTCATAGCCATTTCGGAGAAATGCAAAGGCACTTGACAGAAAAATCAAAACATCAGTGGGTCGACTGAAAACACTAACATATTAACTGAACTATAATATCCCTGAAACTGCCAAAGAAATTAAGAACAAATCAAAAAGGACCAGCAACAGTGCTCTGTTTACTTTCAGTTTGAGGCCTTGCATAACTTACAGTCTTTGGCTTATGCGTTTCAAACTACAAAAAAATATATTGATAATTGTAATTGTTTCATGTCTAGAGCTATCAGCTAATTCAAGTGTTAAAAAACTTTCGCCTTAGATATTATGGTGGGTATTACAGTACAAGGGTGGCGGGGAGGGGGACGTTGGGGCTCCGTCAGGGATAAAAAGAAAAAACAATTCGACTAGAAAAAAAAGATACATGCATGTCTTGCATATGGGTAGACTAAAATTAAGCCTTTGAAACCACTGGATTTATTTTCCAGGGCCTTCGACCACTGGACTGCTTCCGGGAGATTTTGAGTAGCGCCCGACCCTGCCCATTTATGCTCTCGTCGTGGATATCGTCACCCTGGCGAGAGCAGGGTGACACAGTCATATAATACTTTAGTGCATTGTTAATTGTCTCCCAAAAGATGAAGATAAAACCTCAACCGTTCACCTATAAATGTAAATTGCACATAAAAGGATCTAAGTTTTCAACTTTCAATAATTCGAAAAATTGGTACAGTAATTTAAAGACGATTTGCTACAAAAAAAATCCTCAAATTTACTGCCAGTTATGAATAGTATTTGGAGCCGATAATGATTATGGTTTCGTTTCTCGTTTTGATTTTCAATTGGAAGCTAATAACTTACTGGAATTTACAAGTTAAACAATCCGTTTTGCTTATATA